ATAGCTTTCACATGTGTATTTAATACGACATATTTCTACGTTTAGTATACGAGATATGAATTTTCAAATATACACAGGTGTTTCAAAAACATAGTTCTTTATCTTTCTCAGTACAAGTTTGAAGCAATTCGAATATCAATGTTTTCATAGAAAAATTACAAATAAAATATATAATCATAAGGAAATAAACGTGTATAAAATCAATACTTAAGCAGAGTAAGTACTACAAATACAAGTGGCTTTGCATTATATTACACTTAAAAGTCTAAAACGATTCTGCAGCTTGGTTGCACATGGAAAACCTAACGAAGAAACAGGGGTCTAAAGTGTACCGAACTACGATTTAATTTATTACAATTATATTATTACAATGATACGAACCTGTGTGTTTTTTTTCTTCTATGTACAATCTACCTTTCTGCGCGTCTTTTGTCAAATAATAATCGTAATAATTAATAATAGTAGTAATAACGCGTGTCTCAAATTCCTTCGAAATACTTTTTCATCTTTTTTTGCTTTCGTCTCGTTGATATTTTTATAAGTGTGTTGAAAAATCGGTATAAATGTAACTACTAAAGGAGTAATATTACCGTAGTAATCGTCGTAGCTTAGACAAAACTCGGAAGGACTGTAACACCGTTTTACGTTATCCTAAATATTACTATTGCAACGTTATTAAAGTTGGTTCGTTTAGATACATGGTCTCGAAAGGACCATATTTTAGTAAAGAAAATTCGCCGAACGATTCTTTTTCTAAACCACTAATATGAAAATTATTAATGTTTCATTTTCCTACAATTCGTTCAAGCACCATTGACCGGTTTGGTTTTCTTTTTTCCCTCTTCTTTAGTATATCAGCGATTGAACAAATTGGACTCGATTAAGTCTAAAATTATTACTTCGTTCTCGATTTACTATCATCGATAGACAACTACTTTGTAATGTCGATATAAACTTCGATCGACGCTAGTATACTAATATTAATTCTTACAACTAGATCACTACCGTCGATATTATCAGCAATAAAGTTTTTTCGTAAGTCTTGCCGTGTTTCATTTTGGTGTTGGTGGCTACGACACTTGAGACATACTGATATCCTATTCTTCTCTCTTTTTCTCTTAGGTTTCTATTTATTTATTTCCTACGATCACGTTCATATAGTTAACAACTAGAGTTTAATTAGAACAATGATTTTTATTTCTCGTTACATACCAATATATTCAATTGTCTCAGCAACCAACAGTAGATTCAAAAAACAGCATAAAATTTATATAAAGTATTACAGATCTTCCAGAATTTTTCTAAGTTATAATTATCTCATTAATATCTTCTTTCCTCTAACCAGCAACCGCCAACACGAAATTTGACTTAGGCTGGGGTCGAGAGACGCAAGGCGGTATAGTACTTTTTATTTTCTTTTTTCTTCTTTTGATTGGTATCAATCTAAATCTAGTATTTGGACGAAGTGCGAGGATGGGTCGTGCGTGCTTTTGCTTTCTAAATCGAGCGTGCGAATCTCATAAAATCGTTTTTGCTTCATTTAGCCACAAATAGCTTACTTTCGTTATTTCCTTTGCCAAGTTACAATTTATCGTTCGTTATTAATCCGCTTAATACAAGTAAGTACTCTATTTTTTTTTCTTTAAAAAGAGAGAGAAAAAATATGAGAAGAAAACAAGAACGAAAGCTCGTAACCGTCTGTACGCATGTTGTCCTGTGAGTGTCCGTGAACAATGATTGGAATTTATGGAACAGCCCTGAGAAAGAACGAACGACGCGCGTGGAAATGATGTTTAAGTGAATCGAGGCGAATCCGCTTCTGTGAATCTGAATCTGTATCAGAATGTACGTTTTTTTCATCACTGAACATGTGAATTTTGGGGATTACTTATTCTTTACTTCCTTTCATGTCCACTTTTGACCTCAAGTCTTAAGAGATGTGTAACGCGAATATGCAAGCAGGTCCTTCGAATTTTTATACAAATGACAACCTTCAACGCTAAATATCGATACTTCTGCAAAAAGAAAGAAAAATTGGTAAATGTTAATATTGTATACTATAAATACTTACAATGTAATTGAAAGATAGTGTCATCAGATCAAGATGATAATATCAGTTGCGACATCCTATATGTCATAAAAACTACCAAACGGCCGTTGTCTTACTTTAAAGGTTGTGAACCACGTTTGGAAGCTCAATGACACTATCTTCGAATTAGTCTTCCCGTGAAATTTGCACTTACCATCAGGCAACTCGAATAGTTTTCTAGGAAGGGTGGAGAAATAAGGATGCCTTAAAGCTTCTTCAGCTCCTATCCGTTGATCAGGATTTAGTTGTAGAAGCGACGACGCCATACTATCACCTTCAGTGATGTCGTAGAGTCTAGGAAACGAAAGACCCAATTTTCGTAGAGGATAAAATCCCAGTCTATGCGGTTTGTATCCCGGCAAACGCGTGACACCGGGCCAAGTTTCTTCGGTAGGGGTACCCAATACTTTGAATATTTTATCAAGTTGGTCATATGTACAGCGTACACCTGGGAATGTCGGTTCACCAGTCAACATCTCCATAAATATGCAACCTACACCCCACATGTCAAGCGAGGTAGAATAATCTGTGGAACCCAGAAGAACATCAGGTGGCCTGTACCACAAGGTCACTACTTCGTGCGAATACGTATGTGAAGGTACAGATTTAGCTCTAGCTAGACCAAAATCTGCTAACTTCAGCTCTCCAATCTCACTGATTAATAAATTCTGAGGCTTCACATCTCTGTGTAATACTCTCCTATATCAAGTTAAAGTCAAATTCATTAATACATCCACACACAGTTATGATATAAATCATTTCAAATTAATACATGACTTTTACCTCCTATGACAATACGCTAGTCCTCTTAATAATTGGAACAGAAACAATTTAACGTTTCGAGGATCTAAACCACCGTTACCAGTTCCATGGCTCTCCATATATTGAGACAAGTCAGTATGAACATACTCGAAAACAAAAGTAAGGGTCTCCCGCGTATGAATTATATCGTGCAAGGTTACAATATTGCTATGCTTCAATTCTTTAAGAAGGCTTGCCTCGCGAATGGCAGTAAATGGAGCACCTTCTTCCTCTTGCAGTCTAATTTCTTTAAGCGCCACCATTTGATTTGTAAGGTGGCTATAACCTTTGAACACTGTGGCATACGATCCTTCCCCTAATGGTTCCAGTTTTATATAAGCTTCGGATTTGCCGAAAGGAGAATCGCCCTGTGCATATAAACATAATTAATTTTTTATTACCACCAAAAAAAAAATCATTGAACTTGAAACAATTGAAGGGTTTCCTCGTTCTGAATTTTTTACACAAATGGTATCAAATATTATAATTTCAAACTTAGTACTTTCAATAACTAACATTTAAATAATTTTAGTGGTAATAATAAATTGTTGCAAGTCGAAAAACGCAATTTTGAAGAAGCATGTAAAGTTTCAAATACTCTTTTAGACTATAGCACAATTAATGCTTTTGGATATATGTTTGTAAAATGTATAATTGTCAGAAAATACAGGAAGAAAAAGGAAAAAATAATGCTTACAATCCATTAAACCAAGGTGTGCCTCGGATGGCTTTGAAACTCGATAAAAAATACAAAAAATAATATTTAATAGAAGGTTACCCCAAAAGCTGAAAATCTTTTGGTTCTTCTAGGAGGTGGATCCGGCCCAAGGAAGACCTCAGACTTAGGTCGCGGTGGACGCCGAGGTCGTAATATAACTCTAGCTTCTTCGCGTATATCCTCGTCAAGAAGCTTGGAATCACTAGAAACGGAAAGCTGCCGATGCACTCTCTCATGGTCGCCCACACCTGTCCATTCTATGACATCCAATTTCGTCCTTAAAACTTTCTTTAAAGTAACAGCAACAGGTATCCACGTAAAACCATAATTCCTCAATAATTGTATCAATACACAATATTTTAGTTTTATACGTTCCATTGTCATTAAACGACACAATAGTATGTTATGTGGGTCAGATTGCATATCTGAATGCAATTAATTATTAAATACCGAACAAATGGTAAGTATAATTATTGTGAAATCGGTATAGATACATTTCCAGCAAGTCATTCATGCATTCTGTTATCTCTAATAAAACGGAATACACTGAGTTATCCGATAAGTGTTTATGTGCAGTACGAGAAATTAATCAATTTGATAAATAGAACCATACATCGTATGTTATCTTAGAACCAACTTTAATATCATCTATCGATCAATTAAGAGAATCATTTTATCTTAATAATATGTAGTTTATAATTAATTAATTCCCCACTTACCATATTCCCGCTTATCTGTAGGTATATTACCGTTTGGCTCCAAACGGTCTAGGAACTCCTCGGAATAGCCATTATATGGCAGTTGACCTCTGTTTGCTGCATCATCAGCCTCTTCTTTTGATATTGCTAACATATAAAAACCAGTTATGTTAATAAATCGATATCAGATGAACTCTTGCAATCGTAGATCATTTATTGCATCGTGAACTTATAACTTAATTATCTTCAAAAATAAAGAAAAGAAGTATCAAAGTTTACATGCTCTTTTTTCTGTAAAGAATAGATTAAAGTATTAATATATTATTTAAATTTTAATAGTTAAATTAAATTTTTATTATATTTTTGATGTTTTGAAAAATGATAATATGGAATCAAAAAATGCAATAACCTGAAAATGATTAAATAATAAACACAATAATAACAAAAAACAGGTAAAGGAGACTAGAATTTGTTTCACATATCTGTATGCTTGGATGTATGGTTTAAAACAATTAAATAACATTATAATAAATTTATGTTGAAATCACCATTATCTAGAAGTTATCCTATGGTACCTTAAATTAAGTGAATAATGTTATTACATAATATAACATGAAAATAGATAGATGAGCATGTTTGTTAAACCTAATGGTAACTTCAAGAAAGCATTAATACTTTTGGAAT